ATGCGATGATGAGAACTCAGGACGTTATATCGAGAATGAAAGATGTCTCAAAACGTATAGAACATGTTACTGACGAAGAAGCTTGAGAAGATATCGCCTTGAGTGAATATCGCCTTAGAATGTTTGGAGAGTACACCCAAAAATCCAACATATCTGAGTCCCAGAATAGAGAACGAGTTAATAAAACTAATTGGAGAATACATCCAGAAGTCTATTGTCGAAGAAGTGAAAAGTGCTGTATTCTTTTCGGTTTTCGCGAATGAAACTATATATGTATATAATTTTTGACAAGGTATCTAAAAAGTCAAAGAATGTTTCCTTTGCTACGTGGAATTAGAATGGTTAACAGCAAAATCATTTTCGACCGTCAGAATAAACATAGTAATCCGTTTGGCTTTGGATGCAACATTTTTGAGATGTCAAGGATATGATGGCGCGTCTAACATGTCAGGCAATTATAATGGGGTGCAGACCATTATTAAATAAAAATTCATTTCTGCGGTATACATTATTTTCACATTTTAAAATTTGGATTAAATGCAGCTGCAGCTTTGGATTCTACAATTTTGGAAATTCTTTACAAAATCCAAAAAAGGTCTGCTACTTTTTGTAGAATATTTCGAGTAGCAAATAAATCGTTCAAATGATTATATTCATATTGTGAAACACGACAGATTGAGCAGCATGATTGCATACAAATATAGAAGAGATAGTGGAATCGTTGGAAAATGGTAAGATTTAATTTGGATTGATTTCTAAGAAGTAAATGTTTCAGGTCAAATGTAATGAGTTCGAACTCCGAATATTGTATAGAATTACAATATTGAACGAACTAATTGTAAATATAACAAACAGATTTCTGGAAAATGAAAAATAGTTAAAACATCATCGAGAATTATAAAATTTTCATGTTAAGATTTTAAAGAAATCATACACTTTTATGAAAAAATATCTGATGCAATTGTAGTATATGACGAAAATCTATTTCCAAATATAAATATATTCGCCCATGTGACATGTTCCGAGAGTTTTTGAATTCCCATACTTTTTTAAATTCCCATGTTGTGCAAAATGGTGTGCTCAATTTCGAGCGAAAGTGCGACTCGAAAGCATAGCTGTGTTCAATATGTTACGAAATGTGTTCAATAAAAAAACCTATGTTTCATTGGAATTTGCAATTTGTTTACAAACAAAATTAAGAAAAAATATGACTGCTGGCTTATTAATTGCCCTGGTTTCTACCAGAATAAGTCTAATGATACTGGAACGTGTTAAAATAAACATTTATGGATATTTTGAGAGAATTGGGTCCTTTCATACACAAGGGTAGCAGGGTTATCAGGTATCTTAAGATTTCTGGCTGTTGGTGGGTTTCAGAGGGTAGTGGCAAATGATTTAAATATTGAAATATTGAAAGTCCTGAAAGACAAAGTGTGTGCAAGCTGTGGACAGCTGCAGACCAGGATCCAGCCATGATGCTTTTATTTGGCATATGAATGCAGCTAGGCAGTATTAACAAAAGAGGAAATGGTACGCAAAATAGTTGGCTTCTATGAGACAGTGGTTACGCTTTAGAAACATTTTTTGACGCCCTATAAACAAGTGGAGCATGGATCTTGTCAACATCGATATAATAAAGTGCACACATCTGCAAGAAACATTATTAAAAGGACTATTGGAAATCTTAAAAGTAGATTTTTTATAGATTCTATTTTTATTTTGATCATATGGTGGTTGAGTTGCCAAATTGATCTCAAAAATGTTACGCGCTGTTTTTGATAAAAGGAGCCCTTTTTTATTTTCTTTAATTTTACTATAAAAACTAATGTAAATACTGCATTTTTTTAAATAAATATTGTAAAAACACGTTAAATATTACTTCAGCGTTCTTTTTCGACTTGTACGTACTCAGAAAAACACGTACGATCTCATTTCGTTTTCAATCCACAAGGCTATATGTGCTCGAATTATATTCCCAATATTTTTTTGGGAATTCGGAATGGGGCAAACCAAATTTGGGAAAATGTTTCACATTCGAGAAAATGTTTCAATTCGAAATGCAGCACATGGGCGATTGTTACAAATTTGAATAGCAATGGCGGTAACCACAGCATCAGCTGAAAGAAGGTTTTCTACCACATATCGAGTAAAAAAGTAGCTGAAAAATCAAATACAAAGCCCACGTTCTTCTATCTGTGCAAAAATCTGTAGTAAATACTGACCACATTACTAAAAAAAATATAAATAGAAGACCTGATTTGAAATACACATTATTTATTTTTTTTTTTAATATGCAAAACATTTTCATTAAGAATAATGCAGTTATATATTTTTGTTTTAGTTTTAATAAATTTTTATGATTATCAATGCTTTTCCATGTATTTTCTATCAATTTTTTTAACTCATCTCATATTTAAGGAACGCAAAATTTAACTTTTTTAATTTTGCACCATCGCCCAAGGTAATAGATTTAAAAAAAAAATCATCGAATAGTCACAGGATATAATCGGTTTAGCGGAAATTCCATTTACATCAAATCTATTTCTCCTTTGCGAACTTTTTAATTATTCAACACGAATTCATTGCCACACAAACGTTTGCAGAGAAAAAGTACATAATGTGTAATTTACACACAGGTTTTTGCGGGCTGTACATAAAAGGTTTAAGCGAACCCCTCCATTCACGATTTTAATTTTTCAAGATTTTCAATGGGCTGGTAAATCAATACCAATGCTTGTTAAGGTTTGTAACTTTGCACATATATATTTGACGATTTAAAAGAGAAGAAAAATAATTTACAAGAAAATGTTGTTATTGTTTTGTTGTTGTTTTTTGTAATTAAAGAAAAGTCCTTATTTTTGATGGCGGGCATGATAACTCCTCACTGGAACATCGGAATCCGAAAATTCCAATATTCAAAACACTTTATTACTTTGTTGTAATTTCGTTTAGAATAAAAACATTGATTGAAAAACACAACTATATATGAATATAGTCTAGTGCCGGCTTCATTTAAGGAATGGGGGAATGAGGGGTCCCATTCTCGGGGTCAACATTTTTGTTGACTTAATTCCAATCTACACTAATTCAAGAATGTTCCTACAAAATTTCAAGTAACAATCTCAAGAACTCTTGAAGATATAGCCGATTTATTGTGTCAGCATCAAGTGACGGCTGAAGGGCTTCTCAAACTTTAAACGCGTTTTTCTCTAAACATTTTTTTTATTGCGAATGGCGGACACGGTAACTCAAAAACTAATAACCCAATCGAACCCAATTTTACACGATTCTCTGTGACTGTATAGCTATCGTATGAACTAGGATAAAGCCAATCGGCGAAGATCTTCCTTATTTTTTAACTTGGTTTTTGGTAAAAAATCGGCGATTTTCCAAAAATATTTTTTCAAAGGTCCGCCATTTTGTTAATTTTAGAGCGAAGTCAATAATCCTAGTTCATACGAGAGCCAGACATGTACTCTTTCTAACACCGTTGGAATTTTCGGATTCCGATGTTCCAGTGAGGAGTTATCATGCCCGCCATCATAAATAAGGACTTTTCTTTGATCACAAAAAATAACAACAAGACAACAGCAAAAATTTTTTTTAAATTATTTTTCTTCCTTTTTAAATCTTCAAATATATATATGCAAAGTTACAAACCTTAACAAGTATTGGTATTGATTTACCAGCCCATTGAAAATCTTGAAAAATTAAAATAGAAAAAGGGGTGGGGGGTTCCCTTAAAACAAAACTTTGTACAATCTACTATCGAAGACTAAATCAAATTCGATAGGACCAACGGGTTCACTCCTTCTGGCAAACACCCAACAAATTGAACCAAACTATGCAGAACCTATTATTTCTACCAAGTCTACATCTAGTCCAAAGATGGGACCCATTGGTCCACTCATTCTGGTACCTCCTCCACACGTGGTCAAACATTTTAATATTTACAAATCCAATATCAAAGGCATTCCATTCGCCTTCCGATATGAACCAAACTTTTCACAACCTATTATATTTACCAAGTCTTAATCAAGTTCGAAAGTGGAACCCTCTACCATCCCACTCTGATACCTCCCCCACAAAGATTCAATATGTTATAAACTTTTTAATTTAATTTGATGCGAATTAGATTTGATCTTCATTAAATCGGAAATATAGCATATACTTTATATAAATCGAATAATAAAACCAGTGCGGAATTCCTAAAACCTCCGCAAACCATAGGCTGAGGTTAAATATCTGTAGGCAACACCGACTTTAGGCGACATTTTTTTCTAGAACTAAGATTCTTGTCTGTAGAAAATATAAACTTCTATAGAAACAAATGATGTCTTGTGGTAGACCCATATAGAAGAAACATGTACTTCTGAGACCAACGGATATTTTTCAATACAGTACTAAAAAATACCGTGGTAGCTATATTGTGGATCACATGGTCGGTCATGCTTCCCATACTGTTTTGCTAACAAGGTTTTAATTAATTTGTTTTAATTGTTAATAAAATTTTCCAGTCAAAATATTGAGTTTTTTTTTCAATTTCCAATCGGAATCCCCTAGAAGAGGGGATATACCAACAAGTTAACATTCCCACAACAACAACATCCACAACTGCCTAGAATAAGTAAAACAAATATTTTAATGACAAACACATAACGATCTGAGAGAGGAGAGTGAATCAACAAAGTTTCTAAAAATGAATTGCGGTGTTTGTTTTGGTTTTATAGCCTAATCGCATCTGAGATAAATCATTCATTTTAAATATAAATAAACAAATAATAACAATAATAAAAACAACAACAAGTGTCAATACATAAGACATGAAAAACTTTACAATAAACTTGTCTGATGTTATCTTTATGGCTAAACGTCATAAAAATCTGACGACGACGATGAGACGCAGCTGCAGCAGATAAATTTCAATTACATGCGAATTCTGAATGAGCCGACTCAGTGGCTGGTTGGCTGGCTGGGCGTTATTATTCAATTCGAGATATTAGTCTTGAAACGGTTCTCATCTCGTCTGGCAATGGATAACAAAGTGAAGTCGGTGGCAAGTCGCGTTAAATTGAAGTCAACGCAAATTTTCATTGTGGCCGGAACGGTGTTAATGGCCATGGTCATATCGTTGATTTGTATAGGTCTGACAGTACGCTATGAAGTGGATACGGACACGGTAGATGCTGGCAGTATTGGATATTGGACAATGAATTTGCCACCGGAGCAAGAGGAATGGTTTGCAAGGGGCCTGGAAGATCTAAGGCTAACCTCCAAGGGTACTCAACGCTATAAGGGGGAGGTGAAAAATGTTATTGTTTTTCTGGCGGATGGTGTAACGACGGAAATGTTGGCAAGGGCACGATTTGGGGAGGATGGAAATGTAACGGATTATCTATGGGATTCATTTCCCCATTTGGGGGTATTGAAGGTAGGAGGAGGGTTCTTGAAGATAATTTCCAAAAATAAATTTTTGTGGTTTCCGAATTTCCAGAGTAGCTGTGGCTACACAGCCAATTGTGATATCTTCTCCATGGGCACCGCCCTATTCGGTGGTGTGAAAACCCGTATGGGTTTGGGAGGCCTCGATAGACGTGTAGAGTTTCAAAATTGTAGTCAAGCGAATATGGCAACATATCATGTACAAAGCATTATGGAACAGGCTCAGGCCAAGCAGTTGCGGACTGGGTTTATTACCACCAAACGGGTTACAAGTAATCCGGTGGCAGCCCTCTACGCCCACACTGCCGATACAGACTGGGAATGTGATACCGCCATGCCAAAAGAAAAACGTTTATCTTCCGATTGTCTGGATGTTGCGGAACAGTTAATGAACAGTGAAACGGGTCAACAACTCAACGTCATTATGGGTGGTGGTAAACAGACCTTGCTGTCACTTCTCGCTAACGATACCGATGTTGATGCCGGCGCTTGTGATTCGAAAGATAAGCGAAATCTTTTACAAGATTGGAAAGCCACAAAATTGGAAGAGAATGTCAAATTTAAATTATTGGAAACAACAAAAGATCTGCTGAAATTTAATGGTACCTCGCGTGACTATGTCTTGGGCATCTTTGCCAATGGCAATGTTCGGGAGAAAAGTCCTGCATTTAGCGATATGGTTTCAAAAGCCCTGAATGTTTTGTGGAGACCTAATGCGGGGTATGTTTTTGTGGCCGAAACGGATGTACGAGGTAATGGTGTGGGAGATTTTCGTGAAACACTGTTGGAATTTAATCGGACCATAACGGATACTATAGATAATTCAAGGTGAGTATAAAGTGATAGAAGAGGATATTGAATTTAAATGATTTCGATTTTTGGAGAAGTGTATACTACCTGTATAAAACTTAAATTGAAAAATTTCTGAGAAGCAGATTTTTATTCACCAGGAATCCGAAATGACAATTTAAAATCATTTCGGTGGGAAAATGACCTAAAAACCTTTAAAATACCGAACAGGAGACATTATCTAAAAATCGTATGGAAATATGCATATTAAGTTTTTTTGTTTTTATATTTTTTAATGGATTGAAAGAAAGTCGATCTTTCCACCTTTCATATAGCACCAACATCCTAACTAATAACTTTTGAACTACATTTTAATATCTTAATGATATGGGTATCTCATGAAATGTACCAACAACTTTATTTTTATACGTTTTTCTGGTGGCTCTAGAGGCCACAATTTTGACCCAAACATCAAGGAATTTTAAAAAAAGAAAGTAGTCTGATCATTGAACAGGCATGACTGTTTTGATGAAGATAGGTCAATATTTAGCGTATTCAAACAAACGCAGACCCAGATAGCTAGACAATTTGGCAGAAAGTTTTGGTTATGGTCTAGGAAGGCGCCTATAAGTTTATATTATGAACATAAGATATTTAGGATATGAAATATGGAATAGTCTCTTGACGCCACAATTACCAGCCGAACATCAACATTTTTCTATGATAATGAAGATCAATGGTTAGCGGGTCTATATAATCTAAACATTTTTGTGTAAAAAACAATATGTAGATCATATGAAGTACTTTTTATTCCGGGAGTACATGTTTCGAAATAGATGCCGCCGAGGGGTGGTTGAGCTCTAATCGGTCAAGAGTGTGCAAGCTTGTGATATAGATCCGCAGAACCATAGATTTAACTGGTAATTGTGATGGGTAGGGAAGACGGGGGCAGCTTCGCACTTTTTGTTTAGACTTTATAACTCAGTACATATCAGGGATGCAAAAGTTGGTACAATTGTACTAATTTTAGCACTATTTGGAAGTAAAAAATACAATAGCACCCCAATTACATATTTAGCACTATTTCTACATTATATCGAATTATTGTCACTTAAAAGTGAGAATTCCCATTCCCAATTCGTCGTTACGAATTGATGAATTTGTCATAGTTTAAACTTAGATTCCTATTCCGCTTCAAAATTAAGTATTCCCGATCAGATTGATAAATTTAGTAAAGATATTAATTATTTCTGTAACAGTTCTATGAACGTTTCAGGAATATTTCGGTACAGATATTCATATTGTTTTTATACCCTTCACCACACTGTGGTACAGGCAAAAGGAATTGAGATAGACCCATGGTTCCTTTTGAGAATATGCATAGAATCACTTTCTGAGTCGATTTACGCATGTCCGTCCGTCCATGTATTTTTGTGAACAAATTCAGGCCATTTATGATACGATTTTAATAAAATTTGGCACAGTTCACTTATTTGGCCCAAGGGCAAACCCTAATGAAATTGGAGAAAATCGGTTCAGATTTAGATATAGTTCCCATATATAGTTTCGTCCGTTATTGAATTAGGTCCTGATTGATGAGAGCGAAGTTTTGTTGGAATCGGTTAAGATTTAGATAAAGCTTTTCGTTTCGTCCGATTTGGAGCACCATACTGCCAATATTTGTCCGATTGCGACAAAATCCATGAAGGTTTCTGAAATCATGTTCAGATGTAGATATAGCTGCCACATACAAATGGTGTTCAATTTACATGAAATATTGCGTATTGGATTGAAGATGATTGATGTTTCGATATACATTCCATACATATATATAACTAAAGTTTCTCCGATTAGGACGTATTAGTGCACAACGTACCAAATGGAATCTAGAATAACGTGTATTGGATTTTGTGTCGAGCTACATTTTGGATAGCGCACTGTGCTGCGGCATACGGTTGCTCAAATACGCACATTTATATATAGCACCATACATATTTTGCTCGATTTCATACAAATGATTGACATTCAATTTTTAATAAATTTCAGAATGGTAGATGTATGGGTTGTTTTAATTTAGTTCAGACAGTTAATTTCGTCCGATACCATTTCAATGGTCCCCAAAGATGCTATGTATATTCTATCTACAGGATATTGTACATATGAGCGTCACTTGTATGTACACAAGTATGTGAAGGGTATCAAATAGTCGGCCCCGTCCGACTTTTGAATTTTCCTTACTGGTTTTATATATAAGACTTATAAGTACGTAGAACAAATGCTCATCTTATCTAGTTGTTTTTTATAAAAAAAAACAACAAAATGGGATTCAGCCTGACTATTTTGCAAAAATTAAATACAAATGGTATCCCAAATAAACCGCCAACACTACTGGTATTGCTATCAGTCTGGTTGGAATTCAGATCCTCTACAGGTTATATTTTGTTTTAATATGCGACTCAATGTTTGTCGCTTAAGGCTATATTTTTTAGCGGCGGATTATACATGCGGAAACTGTATTTAAATTTGGACCAATATTCACCATTCCCTTTAGAGTTAGCGTTAGGACCAAAACTATAATACATGCAAAATTTTATATAAATCTGACAATAAATACGATTAATACAAGTTATAATCAATTTGAAAAAATTTCTTCTCAATCGAAATAACTTGGGTATTTGGTCATAATTTTCTGAAATCGGACAAAAATATATGTATATGGGAGCAATATTTAAATTTGAACCGATTTGAACTTAATAAGCTTTATTTCAGACTCCATTAGATATGCTGTGCAACATGTCATGACGTTTAAACGTTGGGTATTTAGTGCACCATTTAGATAAAATCGGCCGAATATATGTGAGATCTATATCTAAATTTGAACCGATTTCAGCGAATCTTAACGAACATCATTCTAGACCAAATATTTCGTCTCAATGGGTGATTTACATAAAATCGAATGAAAATAATAGTTTGGGAAATCCATTGTTTTTTGGCAGATGTCTGTACTGATAGATTTATCGTAAAGTATCGATCAAACAATTTCAAATTTATGCTCGTTGGAAGTTTCGCAGTAAAAAATATTTTGCTTTTCTTGTTTGGTGCATTCAGTTGTGAGTTACAGGTGAAAGTGAACAAAGAGAAAATTCGGTACATTTTACAGTTTTTCTTTGACAAAGGCGAAATTGCAAGCCAAGCGGCTAAAATTGTGAGTGGTGGTTCTGATACTGTAACAGCCAATTACGTGCAATTCTGGTTTCATAGATTCCGTTCAGGAATTTTTGAAAATGTCGATAAAATCCGAGAAATGATGGAAGTTGACCGGCATGTTAGCAGTTGTAACATCACTCAGGAGATAAAAATCGACCATACATTTTTTTATTTTTTTTTTTTTTATTTTTAAATCATCTACAATTGATCAGAACCGGCCTGAATTGGCCAAAAGTAGAGGTGTCGTGTTCCAACAGGACAACGCTAAGCCACACACATCTACAGTGACTCGCCAGAAAATTCGGGAGCTTGGTTGGGGAGTTTTATTGCATTCGCCATACAGTTCGAACTTGGCACCAAGCGATTATCAAATTTTTCTTGCATTGCAATTTTTTTTTTAATGATAAATTGGTATCTAAGGGAATTGTGAAAATCGACGATTTGAGTTTTTTTTTTTTGGAAATAGAGAGCAGGACTTCTATAAGAGAGACATTATGAAGTTACTTTTAAAATGGCAACAAATCATACAAAAAAAAAAAAAAAAACGGTGCCCAAGTTGGACATTCCGAAACATATGAGTCGTTTATTTTGAAAGTGGTATAGGTCCATTTTGTCTTTATTTTAATATATTTTAAGGTTTAGCTTTTATTGGTTTCAAAAATTTTGTTAAGTGGTATTGATTTTGTTCCTGCCTTTGTGTCCTTAAACATGATTAATACATAACGTAATGTGTTTTGTAAACTTTTCTAGAAACCCAAGATTGGTATCAGAAGCCTATTTGAAATTAAACCACTTTTAAAATAAACGATTAATATGCACAAATACATTACAACCTGCACCACAGTGTAGTAAATGGTATAACTACTGGGCATGAACAAACTTATTATGCATATCATTATTCTTTCTCTGTTAGATTTTTCAATTTTTGAAGCATTTTACAAATATTTTATTTTCTAATTGAACTTACCTTTTTTGACAATCACAGTATCCAATAAAAACAAACGGTATGGCAAGAAGAGTTTCATCAGCGCTCTCCAATGTAAGAAACCTTTCTCTGACACTTGCTTATGCAGTTCAATTTCTGACAATAATACATATGTACATAACATTCGCACGAAGCTCTCATTGAAACGATTAGAAAAAAACACCCGACCGAAAGATCATAGTTAAAACGTAAATAAATCAGTGTTGGGCAAAATTAAATTGAGAGCAAGTGTGTGCTAGCGTAACTGAGAATTCACCATTAACAACGACTGACATAAAGAGAGAAAAAGAGAACTTGTGTTTACCCATCGACCCTCAGTTACGGTAGCGTATATGGGTAAGCATGCCTGAAATAAATCACAACCGGCAAAACATAACAACAACAACACAATAGTAATTCTCTCACACAATGCACACACGAACGAATTCAACGACGAAAGAAAAAGAAAAACAAAACAATTGCCTTGCCATAGAAATGTAAAAAAAAGAAACTTCAAATTAGGAATGAAATACTCCAGAAAACACTTGAATTTGATAATAATTATATAATAAATGTTGTAATTTATATAAGTTCACACTTTTCTGTTATTTTTAACCAATTAATTCCGCAAAATCTTAACTTTTTAAATAGACGAGCAGCGTTCACGACCGACAACCGTGTAAAAAATTGACAACTGAAGGATGAGCAGTTAGGAGAGAACAGTGTTGTCAATGTTATGAAAATGGTCAACGACTTTATTGAAAACTAGAAAAAAAAACGCTAATATCGTTGCTTGCTTTTAAATATTTTTTGACTTGGGAAAAATATTTAATATATTTATAGAGAGAATAATTTAATTATTAAAATCGGAAAATGCGTACAATTTAATGTAATTTTAAACTAAAAATATATAAAAAACTAAACGGTAGAAAAATCTTAAAGAGAATTTCCAAAAAAAAAAAAAAAATTTATGTGGTTTCTGATCTGCAGAGGGGCTGTGGTTAGACGGCCAATTGTGATATATTCTCGATGGACACAGCCTTATTTGGTAGTGTCAAAATCCATATGGGCTTGGGAGGCCTTGACAGACGTGTAAAGTTTCTCAATTTTAGCGAAGCGAATAATATATTGTTACGTTCTTGGATTTTACTTAATCCCGTGTAGACGTTGTTTTATTTCCCAGCACAGTTCGTACTAAATAAAACGCGGGTTCTTTCTGATTACGATTATTACAATGATTTTATTTACACAACTTTACTTTGCACGTTACTTTACAGCTTTACGTTACTTGACGGTTTCAATTCGGGATCTGATTCACAACTGACTGACTGCCTTTCCATTTCCCCTATTTATATGAGCCTCGCCTGTCGCTACAGAAGTTTCTAGACGATCTGGTAACACCTAGATTACGAACAATCTACAAATGCAACAAACACATACAACCTTACAGTGAGTAAACAATAACAACAACGCATATACAGGCGAGGGGGTAACAAAGAAAGAGGAATGATGACGTTTAACAAGATTTGTACGTCAACAAAAAATAGGAAATGAAAGAGGAAATGGAAGGATGTGGAAAAATCTATACAGTAGTTGTTGTTGTGAAGTTATTCAAATAAACTGCGTAGTAGAAATTTACGTTACAATTCAAATTCTTAAATTAACGGAATTCATCTAAATTAACTTAAATCTAAAGTTATATTCGTAACAATATTTTAAATTCGCGCATACTACAGACGCTAAAAAATGTAAAAAATCCACGTCTATTGTATACCTTATTTTTTTGTAAACCTTGCATTTTTTTAAACTCACGCTTATTTTAGTCCTTAATTTTTACTTTTTTAAAATCCACTCCTATTGTAGACCTTACTTTTTTTGTAGGCCTTATTTTTTAAAATTTTCTTAAATCCACGCCTTTTAGAGCATGAAAAAAACATTTTAAAACCAGTAAGGAAAGTATTAAAGTCGGACTGGGCCGACTATATGATACCCTTCACCACTTTGGGTACATATGTCTCCTAACAGACTCCGCCTTTTCGAAAGAACAATTACATGACATTGAACAAACTTGAATATGTTATCTGGAACCTATGCTAAATTTCATTACATTCGGGCAAGTTTAAAGTCTTTTGCGTACAATGTAACAAATTTATGTAATCGATTTTATTTACATAAATTTAATCTCAATCGGGTATCTGATTAACACACATCATTCTGCACCAAGAAAGATATATTGGGAATTTGGTGCACCATTAACATAAAATCGGACGAAACTATATATGGGAGCTATATCTAAATCTTTACCGATGTTCATAAATCATAACACACACAATTCCATACTTAATCCAGTACGCTGTGGCAAATTTCGTGCAAATCGAAAGATATGTAGGGAATCTCGTACACCATTTACCTAAAATCGGACGAAACTCTATATGGGAGCTATATCTAAATCTGAACCGATTTTCACGAAACTTTCCACACATCATTTTAGACTTAAATCCGTACGCTGTGTCCAATTTCGTGCAAATCGAAAGATATATAGATACTTTGGTACACCATTTACATAAAATCGGACGAAAATATATATAGGAGCTATATCGAAATCTGAACCGATTTTCACGAAATTTTGCACACATCATTTTAGACTTAAAACCGTACGCTGTGCCAAATTTCGTGCAAATCGGAAGATATATAGGGGCTTTAGTGTACCATTTACATAAAATCGGACGAAAATATATATGGGAGCTATATCTAAATCTGAACCGATCTTTACGAAACTTTGCACACATCATTTTAGACTTAAATCCGTACGCTGTGTCCAATTTCGTGCAAATCGAAAGATATATAGATACTTTGGTACACTATTTACATAAAATCGGACGAAAATATATATAGGAGCTATATCGAAATCTGAACCGATTTTCACGAAATTTTGCACACATCATTTTAGACTTAAAACCGTACGCTGTGCCAAATTTCGTGCAAATCGGAAGATATATAGGGGCTTTAGTGTACCATTTACATAAAATCGGACGAATGTATATATGGGAGCTATATCTGAATCTGAACCGATATTATCGAAAATCAGCACACATCATTTTAGAATTAATTCCGTACGCTGTGCCAAATTTGGTGCAAATCGACGGATATATAAGGATTTTGGTGCACCAGTTACATTAAATCGGACGAAAATATATGTGGGAGCTATATCTAAATCTGAACCGATTTTCACGAAACTTTGCACACATAATTTTAGACTTAGTTCCCTACGCTGTGGCAAATTTAGTGCAAATCGAAAGATATATAGAGGCTTTGGTGCACCATTTACATAAAATCGGACGAAAATATATATGGGAGCTATATCTAAATCTGAACCGATTTTCTCGAAACTTAGCACACATTATTCTACACCAAATTCAGTACCCTATGCCAAATTTCGTACAAATCGACGGATATATATAGGGACTTTGGTGCACCATTTACATTAAATCGGTCGAAAATATATGTGGGAGCTATTTTCACGAAACTTTGCACACATTATTCCACACCCAATTCAGTACCCTATGCCAATGCCCTACGTGTAAATCGAAGGATATATGGGGGCTATGGTGCACCATTTACATAAAATCGGACGAAACTATATATGGCAGCTATATTTAAATCTGAACCGATTTTCCCCAATTTCAATAGGGCCAATTGAGTGACCTATGCCAAATTTCATCCAATTCGGATCATAAATGCGACCTGTACTTTGTTTACATTTTGACACCAACAGACGGACGGACATGCATAAATCGACTCAAAAAGTGATTCTATGCATATTCTCAAAAGGAACCATGTGTCTATCGCGTTTCATTTTGCCTCTTACAAACATATGTACATAGCCATAATACCCTGTACCACAGTGTGGTGAAGGGTATAAAAATCCACGTCTATTATAGAGCATCCACGCCTATTTTAAAGCTTGAAAAATATTTATTTTTTTTTGTTTTTGAAATTTTCATTAAAAATGATATCAAATTTATTTTACAGATTTTCACCCGAATCCACGCTGGTGCTGGTGGCATTTATGGACTTTACACAATCCTCCAACGATCGTGTGTCTTCCGAAGACATCTTACTTTTTGCCAAGGGACCCAACTCACATCTATTTCACAGTATACACGATGAAACCTATATGGCCCATGTTATCTCTTACTCCCTACAAATGGGACCATTTCAACCCCGAAAATCAAAGAAAAAAGTTTAAACATCGATGCGTAACAGTTTAAATTGAAATTTATTGATGTGATTGTAAATTTTTATTCTGTTGTTTTTTTATTTTAGTTTTTTTTTCAAATATATTTGGCTAACAATAATAGAAATTTATTTAAAATTTAAATTTACACATCCTCAAATTCAGAACGTGAATTAGAATTACTAGAACCATAAATATTAGATGTCATCAAGTTAAAGGGTTTTATGGGTGAGGGATTTGCAACGGGTCGTGGTGGTAAGGGAGGATTAGAGTGGTTTAATATTGGCGGACGTCCAGTGGCCACAGACGGAGTAGAAGATTCCTGACTAATTGTGGTGGTTGCGGTAATTGTTGACGAGGCCGCTGCAGCTATCCTTGGCACTGGCCGTAAAATATTTTGTCATTTAACGGGTAGCGGGACTAGAGGTGTAGGACGATTACCGAAATTCCCCGCAGCAACATTACTTAGATTACGCAAATGATTAGCTTGGACATATTGAAAGGCCGATGAACGTTCCAATTGTTGGGATAAATAGAATTCGCCCAGGGTATAGAAACGTCGGTGGTCGAAGGGAGCTCCGAATGGAAAGGCGCCAAAACGTGTTGTAGGATATGGCCGAGGCGGTATCATTGGTGGATATATTGGTGTATTGGGAATACGTGATGGTGTGTGAAGTGCTGCATTTAAGTGTGTTCCCACGGGTGGGTGAAGGTTTGCTGAGTTTGCGGAGGAGTTTTTAAATATATCCAATGATTTGAGATTTTCCAACATCTGATGCGAAGCTTGATGTTTTTTCAAATAGGCTTGTCTAAAATGAGAATAAAATTTATATTTCTTATTAGACTTTAAGTTAAAATATGTGAGCTTTTATTAACACTTACCGTCGGAATGTTTTGCCACATTGATTACATGGGAATATCCCATCGACTCCATCGTCATTGATATTTTTGTCTGGAGAATGTCTAACTGATGTGGGAAGCCGTTCTGAATGTTGTCGCTTCTTGGCCTGACTATTAGCCAATAGTTCCGATTTGGGTTTATGCCAACGCCGATGTGATGCCAAATTTGCGGGACAATTGAAGACCTACAAGAAATCGAAATTTATTATTAACAGGAAAATAAGAATTCTACGAGTAGATTGTTGTTTAGGGAAACAATTCAACTACATTTTTAATAGAAACATCGTGAACTGCTAGTATGTTTTTGTTAAATACCGAGTCACAGACTCTAAGGCTAGGAACATGAACATGTACCTGTACTTCGCATTTTCGCATTTCCGATAGTACAAAATGAAAAAAATCGCTGTTGCAAACATAAATTTACTTTGAAAAAATGCATTTCGGGGGGGGGGGCCGGGCCTTCAGGGCCGCCCCCCTGCGTACGTCCCTGCCCTCAGCCTTATGGCTAATGAGGATATATACACTTAGATACGGCAAAAATGTGCCTCATGGCAATACTGGTTTAATTTTTAATAACCGATTTGATTAACATCCAATCCGAAACCTCTTTGATAAAATCGTATACCTTATATGTAAAAAGCGAATAATAAAATCTGTGTGTAATTCCGAAGACTGAGGGTATATATCTGTTGCCAACACTGACTGACACTTTTTTACTTGTTTAAATAGAAATTGTTGAGATTTAAATTTGACCTGTACAAATCAACTTTCAAACTATAATCCAGTTCCGATCAAAATCGAACAGTAAAGGTCCGATAAAAAATTAACCGTTTGTTTATTTATTAATATATATAATACACTTTTGTCTAAGCCTCGAAAGATTTCAGAAATGCGCTGTTAAATATAATCAATAGATCAGCCCTTTCGTCGGTGCCTACAGTTTTTGGGAAGACGAAAATGTGCGCCGAGGACAGCTCCGGTGAATACGATGTTTAAGGCATGATTGCGCTTTGGCTTTTGGGCAAAAACTTATGCGCAAGCATCGATTTTTTGTGTTTCCGATGAAAACGGGACGTATTTTCCAGACAAGATTCTGTGGCAAGAATTCATGAATATACGTAACTCATGAAATTTTATGAAAATCAATTGTTTTTGATCACTTCTCATAAATACTTTGGACTTTCATTAATCCTATACTTTATCTAACACTACAGTATGAAACATAAAGAGGTTCAAGAAATTTATCCTGACAAAAGTCGGCGCGTTTTCATCGCCTTTTGAAGAAACACTCCGGGAGAAGATTACTTGAAGTTGAGTTTCAGGCCGGTCGATAGCCATCGACAATTGGACTCAACGATTGGAAAAAAGTCAATGAATATTCTTTCAATTTATAATAAACATTCCTCATCGATTCCTAATCGATTTTCGTAAACCATAATGTACACCAAATACAAATTTCGGCAATATTTAATGTTGATTTTTCATAATATCGGAAAGCCCGAAAAGGCATTTTTTGAAAATGTGTATAAAATCTTCAAAATACTGCAATTTACAAGGCAAAGTCTGTATCACAATATCTTCCTTCACCATAATTATTACATCTGTAGGTTATATAGGGTCTAGGCCTAAATGCGGACCGATATATGTCTAAACCTGACGTTCTAGATTTTTATCTCGATATCGTCCGATGGCTAAATCGTCCATACTTCCATACTTTGTAGGAATATCCCCCATACTTTGTAGGAATATCCCCCATACAAATACAAATCTCTAATGGGGATATTTCCTAAAAACTTAAAACCCCAAAATTTGGATCTATATTATGAACGCATGTGGGGTGAAATATGGGTATAAAATCTTGAAAATACTGCAATTTAGAGGGTAAAGTTATATGAGGCATACCTTAAGCGGGACCAATATTGACAATATTGTGTAGGAATTAACGAATGTTTGGTTTTTTTATAATATGAAGGGTTATGCCTAATTAAGGACCGATAGCTCAATTTCGAACCTAATATTAATACCCTTCACCACATTGTGGTACAGGGTATTATGTCTTTCCGAGTCGATTTTAGTATGTCCGTCCTTCTGTCTGCCCACGTTAAATTGTAAACAAAGTACACGTCGCATTTATGATCAAAATTGGATAAAATTTGGCACATCTCATTTGTGTTGCTCTGAGGACCGAAGTTTGAGCCTTAGCCCTAGCTCGACTCGAAAGAGTATAAATAACTCACTTAAAAATTACTTTCAAATGATCACTGACCCCACAAGGCAAAATTCAAATAACAAAAATTATTTCAGCTGAGCACGGCTAGGGCTCGAACTTCGGTCCTCAGAGCAACACAAATGTTGCCAGACCACTTAACGTTCTGAGCCATCAACAACACCCTCTAAAAACGGTTGCGCAAAAATCATGTGTATACCAAGGTAGCAATTGTAGGTGTGTGGATTAATTATCCATCGCTACAACAAAAATCTGCTTTGGATTGGGATTGTTTCTAGAAAGAAGACAAATGTCGAATCTTGACAAATTGGAATTTAATTTGCATATGCAAGTCAGGGTGGAATAAATACAAGTTATCAACATACGACCTGTGTAAAGCCACATAGCCCAATATGCCTGATGAGCCGCTTAACCAACGGCGAAACGCGTCGCATAATGGTGGGTTCGTAGGTTCTTCTACTGGCTTTCCTTTTCACTGCAAAACATACATCATTAAGCTCGTCTCGAAAGAGTATAAATAACTTACTTAAAAAATATAGCTCACATATATAATTTCGCCCGATTTTAGGTAAATAATGCACCAAAGACTCAAATTTAAGCCGATTGCATTTATATAGGGGCTATGTCTAAATGCGCGTCGATATATACATTATCGAATCTGAGTTTTTTTATTTCGATATCCTCCAAAGGAAGAATGATTACAACATATGGATAAATCGACTAAATCGCATTACAATTCCACCCTATATAGGGTATAAACAAACAATTTAGAGTACAGCATATCCCTCATATTATGGTGGAATACGGGTATATGGAGGTAACCAAAAATCCGGAACAAATATAAAAATGGGGGTTATATAGGCACTACCCCTAAAATGGGGGGTGAATATTAATACATTTTTGGTAGGGAGATTTGTTGCCACTACGACTACAAAATACCAAATTACAGCAAATTCGGTTGGGGGCTACCCGAAAAACTGACCAATATTTATAATTTGTTGTGGGGAGATTTTCTATAAGAACTCAAAGTACTAAATTACAGCCAAATCAGTCGAAAAATTCGCTAAAAACCCAAAAATTCTGAAAATTGGGGGGTACCGCCATATGGTGGCTACCAGAAAAAAATTGAATGTGGTACCCAATAAGAACCCAATGTACCAAATTTCAGCGAATTCAGTTGAAAAACGCGCTCAAGAACCCTAAAATACAGAAAATTGAGGGGTACCCTTATATCATCTGCTCATCTTCGAACTGCCTGCAGACAAAAGATGACTCTATGCAAAATTTTGGCTATTACAACAGACAGCCGGACATGGCCAAATCGTCACATATTTTTTACGTTGATCAAAAATATACTTTATAGGGTCGGAAATGATTATTTCGATGTGTTACAAACGGAAAAATAAAAATAGTATACCCTCCATACTATGGTGGAGGGTATAAAAAGGCGTTATATGGGGACTACCCCCAAAAGTCGGCGAATATAAATCATTTTCGAAACGGAAATTTGTTACTTAATACGAAATCACAGCAAATTCAGTTGAAAACATGCTCCAAATCCTAAATATACCGAAAATTGGATGGTACATTGTATTTATAGTTTTTAGTGGAGACATTTGGTACCCAATAATAACCCAAACGCCCTGTACAACCCCAGAAAATTTGGGGGTACCTTTACATGGGGGCTATGCCTAAACGTGAACCGATATAGCTAATCTTCGATGCAAAAATTCAGCACCCTATCTCAATTCCATCAGAAGACAGTGTGATTACAATATATAGGGTCGGAAATGAATATGTCGATGAGTTACAAACGGAATGACAAAATTAATATACCCTCCATGCTATGGTGAAGGGTATAATAAACGAAAACTATAACTTCAAAACTTTTACTCGCTTTATAAAAAACTAAATTTATTTTCTTAAATAAAATTCCCTTGCACTACTCACCTTTTCACATTCCGAACATTTGTATTCAATGTGAACAATTCGAGGACAACGATGTTGGGCCAACTTAAAGGCATCATCGTACAGCGTGCGACACAGCTGACACAAATACGCACCAATCTTATTATCGATACTGGCCAAAATCGCTTTAGCTTCCTCGGTGACTTCGACCACATTGAAAGCTGGATCAATGTCGCCTTTACGCACCACCAATTCCTCGTCGTCTCGTAGTTTTCGAATAATAGTGCCAGAAACTGGACTAATGGTCTCCTCGTCGAGTGACATGTGCTTACGAAGTTTCATACGTTTACGTTCGGTCTTATGGGTTTTATACGAAGGTGGTCGAATATGTGTCGGCAGTGAGTCTAGTTGGGGGTTCACATTATTAGGTACACTGGAGTTTGAGGTTATCATAATTGTGTCTAGTTTGTCGTGGGTGTCCGTCCGTGCCGTGTAAGGATTCTCCTCGCAGGGCTTTGTGCAATTTGTCAAATCAATGTAGGTTTTCACATTGTTGTCGTTGCCACCGCCGCTGCCACAATCGTTGTTGGAATTTCCTTTGTTAAAATCCCTGTCAAATAATTTCGCCAGTCCATCGACAGCTCGATTGTGTAATTCTTCATTTTCGTAGACCAATTTGTTGCGTGTCAACACTTGGCCATCCTTGGCCAGTTCTTGTTCGATTTCGTTTTGACTCTGCAGTCGGAGCATGGTGATGGCTTTGCTGGACAAAGGATTTATGTCGTCGTCATCGTTACTTAGAATGTCAACATATTCTTCTTCGTCCGCCTCTTCCTCGTTGGCGTTTTCGTCTTGTCGCTTTTCTCCATTGGAATACCTAGTTGTTGGTTCGGAACTACTGTTATGCGACGAACTATGTGGCGAAGAGATGTTGTGGTGGTGATGATTGTTGTGATGGGTCTCATTAAGTTCCGCATCTTCGTTGAGCTCTTGAGAACTGACAAGTGTTTCATTTTCTTCATCAATTTCTTCGTCCTCTTCGGAAACATCGTTTTCATTGACTTCATTGTTGACCTCATCATCCGCCCCTCCCTCATCCTCATCTTCGGTCAGGACAATTGTCTCATCATCGACATAAATTGTTGGCATACTGGGTAGTTGCTGAGGCTGCCGGCGATATTCGTCCATTATCATTACACTTCGTTGACTTTTCGGTATTTCCGGAAAATTGCTACCATCCTCTCCTGATCCACTGCTCTGCTGCAGCTGTGTATTGGCATTGTTTCGTTCTCCAAACATTTGTTGTTGTTGCCTTAATGTTTCATATCCCTCATTGTCCTGCATTGTGAATAAAGGTAATTCCTCTCGACGAGCATAAGCGGAGGCGACAAAGTTTTGACTTTCCGTTACCATGACTCTATTCGGACTTCTTCTCAGTGGAGTATTTGTTAGTGCTGTTGTTGGTGAGTGCCTGTCCCCTTGTGTTTGCGGTATTGTGGTTCCCATGACATGCGGTCGCCACAAAAAATGCTGTTGCTGTTCCTCTGTCATAAATCTTGACCGTTTCCTTGGTGGCGAGGGTGTCGATGGCGGTGTTATGGGCACAATATTAACTCCTGCCCTCAGCGAAAGATCCAATGGGGAAATTATTAAATTGTTGACTGGTGTTATTTGCCTTTGTTGTTGATGTGAAATTGTCTGAGACTGTGGCACTGTTGGTGGGTGGAGCAGAGAAGGTTGTGGCTGCAGGTGATGTTGATGTTCTAATATTGCTGGTCTGGCACTGAATTGAGGAAATGTTTCATTAATCGCTGGCAGAACACGGCATTCCGTATATGCCTCGTTCATCATTTTCAATGGTTACTGTAATTGAGAAACGAAAACGAAGAATGTCTAATTAATTTCGAATTTGTATATTAAATTTTTGTTAAAATACAGATCAATTAATAACATATATATTTGGTCTAGGCCCAAATAAAAAATATGTTTGTAATGTCGAAATTAAGTCTGATTTTTTAAAATATTTCTTGAAGACCCAATCAAAGGGGAGATTTTTAAGATATTTTTCAAACCCTCAAATAAAGCGCAATTTTTTGGAGAACCATCAGGGAATATATTTGTAAGATCGGAATTAGGTCTGTTTTTTTAGAACCTATTTCTTTTTAAGTGTGGATCTTTTTCAAGTCCCAGATGAAGGGGGGCAAAAGCGAAGATTTTTGTAAACCCCAAAATAAAGCGTGGAATTTTTTAAGACACAAATAAATCGTTCATTTTTAAAGAATATTTTATATGTCCCAAAAAAGAGAGGATTTTTTACGAATAGTTTACCTAATCTTAATTAAGGCGTGATTTTTTTAAATATGTTTCAAAGCCCAAATAAATTGTGATTGTTTAATGATCATTATTTCGTGTCTATATTAATATGTAGATTTATTAACGAATATGTTTTCAAGCCACGACTAAGTAGGGGGAATTTTCAAGAATGTTTCATTTATAAGGGTCAAATAAGGAGTGGATATTTCAAAGAATACTTTTTGCAATGTCTAAATAAGGTGGTCATTGCAAAAAGAATATTTTGCCAAAGCCCAAATATAGTGGTAATTTTTCAGACAATTTTGAGTCGATTTACAAATGTTCGTCTGCCGGACTGGCTAGTCCAAACTTCGAACATCGTAGTATTTCTTCCAAACTTAGTTTAAGTTTGGGCATGGGACCTATTGGCCCACTCCTTCTGGTACTGTTAATGGTCGAAATTTGAAATAAATATTAAATCCAATATTAGGCGAATGGAATGTCTGATTTGAACCAAACTTTTATCTTTACCAAACCTAGATCAAACCCGAAGGTGGGTCCCGTCGGTTCTCTCATTGTGGAACCTTCCTCACAAATGGAATTTGAAGTGAATTGAATAGCCGATTTGAGAGAATATTTTTTAACTAAAACAAATTGTATGTGACGAGCATCACACTATGCTACAGGGTATTATGTCTTTGTACATATGTTTGTAACAGACAAAATGAAACGAGATAGAACCATGGTTCCTTTGTCCGTTCGTCTGTGCATGTTAAATTGTAAACTTGACACTTGAAACTTGGCACAGCTTATCAATTCGGGAAGAACCCTATCGATGTTGAGAAAAACGGTTCAGATTTAGATATAGCTCCCATACATATTTTCGTCCGATTTAATGTAAATAGTGCACCAAAGTCCGTATATATCTTTCGATGTGCACGACATTTGTACAGCGTACTACATTAAGACCACAATGATGTGTGGCTAAGTTTCGTAAAAATCAGTTTACATTTACATATAGCTCCCATATAAATTTTTATAATCCTCTATCTATCTTTTTAATTTGCAGGAAATTTGGGATAGCGTACTGAACTGAGTCTAGAATGATATGTGCAAAGTTTCGTGAAAATCGGTTCAGATTTAGATATAGCTCACATATATATTTTTCCCCGATGTTATGTAAATTGTAAAATTTACATAAAATGTAATCTGTAAAATCTTTGGCAAGTTTCATTGAAATCAGTTCAGATTTTAGGTAAATGGTGCGCCGAGTGCAACGAAATTTGGCCAACATATTGAATTGAGACTAGAATAAGGTTATTGGGTTTTTATGATGTTGGTGCAGATGTTGGAAATTTCATTCACGAATAACTTTTATTGGATTTTGGTCGTTGCCTATGGTCATCGCCGTCTATTGATATTTTGTTTGGGATTCGTACGTTTTTTATGATTCGTTATCTGTGTCGATAATACGGCGCGAATGGTTTAAATGTACTGTGGCACATATTATAAATTTAAATTAAAAATTTCAAACTTTCCAATAGAATTGCCTAGGCCAGAAATATGTATAGTATCCTTCGTATATACATATCTGCAAACAACGATTTCAAAATAATTTGAACGCCCGCATAAAAATGTTTTCCTGAGCCGATTCTACTTTTACATTGATTCAATTTTTTGGCCATCTGTGAAGAGGATGCCCATCTGTTGTAAATTCACTTAAAAATGTATTTAGAGGTTTTTAAAATGTTGACCTATCTGAGGATAGGACCGAAGGGTCCCACATTCGAACTTGATCTATGAAAGGTAAACTTATTACGATGTGCAAATTTTCGATGAAATTGTATATTCCTTTCGTTCGCTTCATATGAGAAGTGGACTGATAAGTCCTATCTAACAACATTCTAATGTTGTAATTCACATAATAATGTGAATATCCAAAACAATGAACTCTCAATAATGTGAACTAATTAATGCCGGAGTAGTTATGCAAAGTTTAGTTCAACTCGGATAGTCCATTCCCGAAATTAATTTTCAGCCAAATTTTCTCCATTTTGTTGTGGAGCACAAGAAGGAGTGGGCCGAAGGGTCTCATATCGTGACATAAACTAGGAAAGGTTAACATAATCCCAAGTCCTTAGCTTCGATGGATTTTGATATTCCATTCGCTTCCTATGAGAAGTACAAGTTTTCAAAAATTTGATCCATTACTAAAAATAAGGAGTGGTCCGATATGCTCCATCTTCGAATCCAAGGTAGAATTAATTGCACCAGCCGGCCAGACAGACGAACGGACATTTCTAAAGCGACTCTAAATTGTCTGAAACTGATATGGTCTAAAGAAACATGAGATATAAAAAAAAACAATATTTCGATGAGACAGATATTTGCCGTATCAAAGTGTATATACCCTCATTAGCCACAAGGTTGAGGGTATAAAAATGTTCGGCATAAAGCAGGTCAAAGCTAAACTAAACCGATCATTTATTTTACATGTGTAGTATTTATTATAGGTATCTCAAATGTTATGGCTTTGCGGTTTTCGGTTGACAGAAAACCAAAATTATCTTTCGAGTTCCAGAAGATCCGAAACTGATAAATTGACATACGCCATAAAATCTATTTACAAAAAAGATTAATCCCAGTTTACTGTTTGATGTATTATCCATACAGCAGTACCGTGGGATAACGACTTTATTTCATGTTGAAAAGCTTTTCAATTTAGCCTCAAAGTCGGATTTTAGGAATAATTTCAACCAGAAATATATATGTATATATTGAGAAAAGTATAGATCAGTACCTTGACAAATCATCCATAAATGTACCGTCCGATTTTACTTACACGAAAGTCCTTGACCACATATCAAAACTAAAGTGACTGTAATTTATTATTCACATTCGGAACATCGGAATAAAAATGAATGGCCAATTACAGCCACTTTGGTTGAAAAAAAACGTCTAGAACACTAATGCACAAAAAAGAGACGACAGCGGTGGCAGCTAAACACGTATTCCCTTTTTATACTTTCAGCCTTATGGTTAATTAGGGTATATACACTTTGATACGGTGAAAATGTGCCTCAGCGAAATATTGGTTGTAGACCCGTTTCAGAAAATTTGGAGTCGATTTACACATATCCGTCCGTCCGTTGTCCGTCAATCTGGCTGGCTGGTGCGCACGATAACTCTCGAAGGGAATACTCGATTTTATCCAAACTTTATACATCTTTTTATTTTCTCCAAACTTAGTTTAAGTTCGAAGAATATCGGTCCACTCGTTCTTGTACCTCTGCCACAAAATGGTAAAAATTGTGCTAAAAAATATTTTTTTAATAACATGCGAACGAACTATCCGACTTAACGAAATTTCGTACAATCTGTTATCTTTACCAAGCCTATATCAAGTAGGAAGAAGGGACCCATTGGTCCCCACCTTCTGGTGTGGGGGAGGTACTAGGACAGGGTCAAAATTTTCAATATTTATAAATCCAATATCAGGCTAATGGAATTAGCCTATTATCTTAACCAAGCCTAGATCAAGTTTGAAGATTGGACTCATTGGCCCACTCCTTCTGGTACCTCTCGCACAAAAGGGTAAAAATTGTGCTAAAAATTAATTTTATAATAACGGGCTACGGACGGGACGGATTTTAACGAAACTTTGTGCAACCTATTATCTTTACTGACCCTATGTCAAGTAGAAAGATGGAACCCATTGGTTCACTACTCCTGGTACCGCTCCCTCAGAGGTTCAAAATTTTCAATATTCATAAATCCAATATCAGGCGAATGGAATGTCAGATTTGAACCAAATTTGTCAAGTAGGAAGATGGAACCCATTTGTTCACTCCTTCTGGAAAAAGTCAAAATATTTATTTATTGTAAAATCTTTTCGAATATCGATAATCGAAAATACCGAAAATTGGTAGTTTGATTTTATGGGTGCTACACTGATCCCTCAATCGTAATATCCCATTTTCAATACCAAACATCCTTGGATTGTAGTAATGTCAAAATTGCAAAGTCCAATGCTTAATATTGTGATCTCTATCGAGATTTTAACACAATTTTATTCTGAGCAATAACATATTTATACTTTATGGGGTCTCTGACGGATATTTCGAGGTGTTGCGAACAATATCACAAAATCGAATAGTATACACAAATCTAACGGTGGATGAATTTTTATACTGATTCCCCGAGGTTATCAAAGCGTAAATAGCTTCCTCGGAAAGAACGTTTATTGTAGAGGTTTTGACATACGTCCATATAGAGGTGCCATCCTATTTGCCTGACATTTAAAAAAAACGCCTATATAGGCATTTCATGGTTTGAAATTGCATTAATATAACGGCCACGCCCCAACTTAAGCTATTTACATGATCCTAGACGCATTTTGCGATTTTGCTGGAATTTTCGTATTACATGTTTTCAGATATATCGATTCGATCCGAATTTTTAATTTTTTTTTATTCTTCTTGGTAGATAGATGGCTTAGTTCGGCTTTTTTAAATGTTTTTAATTACTGAACCCGCTGTTTTTATTCCTTAGATATGTAT